GAACTGATGCACTGAGGCAACGCGTCTCAGCCCGTGCTGAAAGTTAGTTCATCTTCAATAAGTAAAATCTCAAAGCCATTTATTCCGTAGGAGGCACAAGGCTCTGTGCTACATCTATGGGGTCTCCAGCCTGCCTTGTCCTGAGGAAGAGGCACTCTTACTGCCCTGTTCCTGCAGCACGTTTTGTGCTAGTGCAGAGTATCGTTGACGTTAGCACTTACCAAAGGCTGCAGATAGAAAATAGCTGTGTTGGGGTGCTTGGTTTACATTGACTCTAGGACTATTCATGGTGCTCTGCTGCCACAGGCAGAGACTCCTGGAGTACCTTGACCTAAAGTAAAACCTCTTCTTGCTCTAAGCTATACAGACACCAGGCTGCTGGGCAGTACTGGCTTTCAGAGATGTCAGTCAGACACTGCATCTGCCTGGAGTTCTGTGCCTACACTTGCCTTGGTCAGACTTGGGCTTTATTTATATCTCTTAATCTATAGAAATGATCCCCTGCCACGATGTAATGCCTTACCTTGATTAACAGAGCCTGCATGTTCTCGGACTAACTGGAATAGAACAAGTGCTGCAACACTCATAATCCTCCTACAGGCGCTGTCAGGAGGTTTTTATACTGTAGCTGAATCTGGGAGATCCTTGTCCCTCCACGCGTGCCTGATTGGTGATTGTGCAGCACAGTGCTGCCTTCCCTGCTGCCCACCAACGCAGCTGTAACCTGCCAGCCTCTCCAGGGGCTGTGGTGATGGTGGTGGTGTGAATGCACTACACCTCCTGCCTGCTTCTCGGCCTTCCGCTTCCTCCCCTCCCTCCTGTTGGAGGACCTTGTTTCACCTCCTTGCTCTTGCTGCTCAATTTGTCTACACTCTGACAGAAAAGGCAAGTGGGAGCCTCTTAAGCTAATGGGACCAAAGAGGTTTTGTAGCTCCTCGGCAGCTGTTCTCTTGCTGCTCAGACAGACGGCGTGTCGCCTGTGAGCGACTGGCTGGGGGGGGATTGGCAGTGATGGCTGCTTAGACCTGAGTGATGGACACCTGCGTCTGACTGTGCTGTATGTTTCAACGCCTGCTGCTGTTACATACACACACATCACTGTGACTGTGAAAATAAAAGGGAGTCTCCAAGACTCATCCAAGCGCTATGTGTCAGCGGCCAGCGTCCCACTTACTGCTTGGTCGTCGTGTTTGTGATTCCTGGTGTGAGGGTTTGGGGTTGGGTGACCAGTTACCCCTAGCTAGCTCCCTGCCGAGGGCGAGTTCCTGCACTGGTGGGGTTGAACAGGCAGTGCCTGTTGCTTTGATCACTCCTGCAAAGTAGCTACTTGTCAGGGTCTTAGAAGATGGCTAAAGGTAGATGTGTTACTGGCTTTACTGTGAAACGGTGAGCAGACTTGTGTCAGTGTTAGCAGGGCACTCCCAGGAGATGGACATGGTAAAGTCACCATCGTCACAGCTTCTTGTTCCACTCTGATGGCAGACAATTCCTGAGGTAGCTCTGCCATTGCAGGGCTCCTCTGCAGACCTTGGCTGGGAAATTCAGTGGACTCCAGAGGAAGAGCCAGCTGCTGGCCCAGGGGGTGGCTGGGCACGGAAAGCCATCTGGCTTCCAGCTCTGGCAGCTGAGGAGGTGTTTCAGCAGCAGGAGAGCTGTGTGGCACTGCTCCCTGCTCCTGCTGTCTTCCTCGTGGGGGCTATAGGAGTGGAACTGCTCTGCGCTAAAGTACTATCAGTTGCCTGTCGGCTAATGGCAGTGTAGATGTGAAACCTCACTGGAGAGCCTGAGCTACAGCCATCCAGGATGCCGCCTGCCTCGGTGATACGCATGCGGAAGGGGGCATAGGGTAAGGCACTGATTCCCTGAGTTATGGACAAGCTGCTTTGGTTCTGGAGTGCAGCACAGGGAGGCACCATATAGGTGAGAGGTGAGGTGGTGGGAGAAGGCAGGAAGAAAGACGGTTGTGTGCTCCAGTCCTCTTGCGATGCTCTGGGCTCCTCTGACATGCTGAGCCAAGAGGCTCCCTCTGTTAGATGCTGCTCTGTCTGTCTCCTCTCTGCACACTCGGCAGCCCTGATCCAGGTTCCCTCTGCGATGCTCAGGAGGCAAGGAAGCCTCGGACTGCCAGAAGGAGCAGCAAGACAGCAGGCAGGGCTGTGAGGCAGCTCCAGACTGCTCTGCTTCCCCGAGGGAGATCCTGCTGTCTCCTAGCTGGGTGTTTTGGGAAGTCGTGTGCTCTATGAGGAAACACGAAGAAGTTGAAGGAAAAGCCTGAGACGGACAGGAGGGAGTTTTGGCACAGCAGCAAAGCACAAAATAGATGCTTTTGCCTGCTGTCACCAGGAATCTTCTGCTACAATCTGCTGTGCCGTCTGTCGGCAGTGGAACAGCTGGGGTGACTTCATTCCCTTTTGCTTCTTGAACTGCATCTGGCCACCAAGACCTATTTCTGTCCTTTGATCATTAAGAGGAAAGTTGTCCTGGGTAGTACAGCAAAGAGCTCCAGGCCCTTGACTTAATGGTTGCGTTGCAGAGGGGATGTTTAAAAATTGGTCATTTCAAGTATAACAAGATGAGGAGCAGCTGCTGCACTGGCTGTGTCCTGTCTGAGCGTGTGAGAGTGCTGCTAATGAGGGCCAAGGGCCTCACACAGTGATTTCTTGCATTGCCAAACTGGCCCTGTGCTCGGGGTGATGTCAGGCACTGGCTTTCAGGCAGTTGGGCAGGAATTGAGTGGCAGCCCAGCACCCTCCACCTGAGAGCTGCTCCTGATGAAGCTGCCTGCTGCCTTTGATGCATCAGTGCAGGCAGCTGGAAGCATTTTCCGAAATGGTTTATTTGAAGTTTCTCCGGCAGGCTGGTGGCCCTGCTGCAGAGCGGGCTGAGCTGGGGCGGGGGGCAGGCGGGTCCGTGGCTGTTTGTGTTGCTGACGGGTGGTGGTCTCTGCTGCCTTGGGCACGGGCAGCACTGCTGTAACCTGCAGGCTGTCCGCTGGCTCTGCAGTGCCTGGACCGAAGGGGTATGGTAGATGCAGGGAGATCCAAAGCAGATACTCCCTGTGCTCCTTGGCAGCGTGGGCTGCGGGTGAAATCCGGGCCAGGGAGGCTGTAACTAGTCAGGACAGAAGTGCCACAGGGCTGGGTATTTTAGAGCAATACCCTCGCTCACTGTATCACTTGCAAACTCAGCCTGGGCCCATCCCCTCCTCCCACCCTGGAGCTCCTGCTTTTCCAGTGTGTTTCTCCCCACCAGCACCTGACTGAGCTGCTGGGGTAAGCGGGACCCAACCCCTCAGTGTTTCGCTTGACCCTGGAATAGTTACACCAGCAGGCAGAGCCCGTTCTGTTTTCAGCACAACTGTTTATTGATAATCTTTGCTTATCCACTGTATGAATGTTACCAAACCGTAAGACAGTTACCAAGCCAGCCTGCTTCCTCAGGGTCTGGTTCCAGGTAGTCAATGCGTGTAGAAATCATGCACTTCAGATATTCTGTAACAAGACAGGTGTAAAAAATATCTTGGATGTATTTGAAATCTCTGCCTTATCTTGCAATCTAATCACTGAAAAATCTGTAAAGAAATCGTAGGGGAGCAGGGCTGCATTCCCTCCCGGGCAGGGCACGGAGGTGAGTGGTCCCCAGAGCTGTGCCAAGGCTACCGAGCCAGGTGCAGCCGCTTCCCAACCAGAGGCGCAAGGACAGCAGTGAGCATCCACAACATGCTGTGCTTCAAGTGTAGCATGTTATAAACAGTACGGTAGATCTGTGCCCAAAACCCTCAAACAAACCCTGGATGCTGGGCGACTTCAGGAAAAGCGTGTTGGTTGCTGAGTGGGCAGGACTCCCGGGGGGCTGGAGGGCTCATTCCTTGGGCTGCAGAATTAAACACCCCCTGCCTTTGGAAACCTTCCCTTTGCTGTCAGGTACGCATGACCTGCCTCTGTATGCTCGCCCTGGCTTCAGGAAAGAAGATTGAGCAGCAGAAGGAAGTGTGACCTCCTTTCTTCCCTGGCCTTTGTTTATGGACTAACAGAAGCCCGGCGCCGCATTCCCAAACAATGTCTCTGCCCCTGCAGGGGCTTCCCAGCTTGAGCCGTGAAAACCAAAGGTGGCAGATAAAGCAAAGAGGGGATTTAGGCAATTGGTAAAGCCCTTGGTCAGATTAAAGAGCAGGGCTCGATGTGTGCTGTCCTCTCAACAGGGTGTACGCTGGGGTGCTCCTGGGCTTGCTGCCTTGCTGGGGCTTGGGGACACCTGCAGCTGCGAGGGCAGCCGAGGAGCCGGCATTGTGCTCTTCTCCCTGCCCGTGTGGCAAAAAGGTTTCTCAAGGCAGGAGGGCTGGGGAACCACGTGCCAGGGTGCCGGTGGCATGCGAGGGAGGAAGCGGGAGCTCCTGGGCTTGTGGTGCAAGAGCTCTCCACAGGCAGAATGCTGCCCTGCCCCATCTGCCCCAGCCTGAGCAGCCCCTGCCTGGTGGGTGCTTTGTGCCCGCTGCAGCACCCAGCATCCGTCCACCCGGGGACTGCAACTGAGACAGGGGCAGGCTGAGCGCAGCGCTGGGCTGTTTGGCTGATTTGCTGTTTTGGGGGGGGGGGGGGGGGGGGTGGGGTGTGTGTGTGGTGTGTGTGTTGTTCTTTTGATGACCACAAGAAGTTTTACATTATTACATTCAAACAAACACCCTTGGTTTTGTTACTCTACTTCTGAACACCGCAAAACACAGTAGCAACATAACACGTACGAGAGTGGTGCTGCAGCTAACCACGGAGGGAAGGCAATGCGCTGTCATGTTGGAAAATAATCCCTGAAGCCAACGATGGAAGGAAAGAGATGGGCGTTGATACACGTCGCAGTTTCCATTTACAAGAGCCCCCAGGAGGGAGGACCCCAAGGCCGTGTGCTGGGAGGAAGCTTCCAGTGTGGCAGGCGTCCGCATGTGGTGCTGGACCTGCGGCGGAGCCGAGCTGGCATGGCCGCCAGCCTGCCGGCTGCCCTCAAACCCATGACACCGGGCAGCGCCGTCATCGTCCCGGGGCGAAGATAAAGTCGAGGGCTTGGCGCTCCGCGGCAGCGACGTTGGGGTGCCACAGGTCCACCATGAAGACCACGCGGGGACCCTCCTCCGGGGGACCTGGTTGGGATGCAAGCACGGGGTGAGGCTGCGCTCCTGCCCTGCTCCCACGGGAGAGGCCAGTGCTCGCCCCAGCATGCGGGTGATGAGCTCCATGCCGGGAGGCTGCTGCCTGCACCCCGGGCAGAGCATGCACCCGGTGGCAGGGCCAGCCTGCAGCTGCACCGGGCAGCGGGGAGGCGTCTGCCCAGTGTAACCCCAGTAAACAACACCTGCTTACTGGGAGCCCAGTGCCTCCAGCAGCCGGCACGGGGCATGGTCCTCCCTGCCAGGGCTCTGGTTTTGCTTTGAGCAATCAGACCTGAAGGTTTCCCATCGCAGGGCAGCAGCCACGATGCTGAGCTTGCCCTCCTTGCAGCTGCGTCTCAGAGCTGTGCAGGGAGCTGCTGCTGCACTATTCCAACCTTCCCGGCCCCGCAGCTCTGCACTGAGCTGTGCTTCCCAATTCCACAGCAGGGTTGATGTGGGAGCAACAGCTTTTGTTCTCCCACTCTATTCACACGCTCCCCTGTGTAAAACAGCTCTGCTTGATGCTTTTATGCCATTGGCGACTAACGCCGGTTAATCCAGGAGAGCTGAAGTGGAACAGCCTCTGTCAGGCAACAAAACAGGCCGGCCTGAAGCTTTTCTCCCTGCACGGGAGACAAAGGCACCACTGGCACGTCAGCGCTGAGCTGCTGCCTTGCAACAGTGCCGCTGCAGCCGGCAGCACTGCCGCGAGGAAGGGTGAGAGGATGCCGAGGCTGTCAGCATCAGAGCCTGCGCCACACTGCGAAGCTCTGGAGGACGAGGGAAGTCTTTCCGTGCTGGCTGCCGCGGCAGGGAGAGGATCACTGGGCCCCGTGCCTGGCTGGCAGTGCGGCGGCAGCGCTGCAAGGCTGCAAGCAAGTCAGGACGGGAGCGAGCCCTCGGGCAGGCTGAGGAGGGGGGGTCCAGGGGCTCCACTGGGCAAGGGGCACTGGGATGTTCCACCACCCTGAAGCAGCAGGGAGCATGGGTGATGGGCAAGCCCCACCATGCCAGGAACGGGGCTACTGCCCTCCACAGTGCAAGCCAAGGGCAGCAGCGGTGTAACCCCCATGGAATGCAGGTGCCTCCAGCCCTGCAGGCGCCTTGGCAGGAGAAGGGACTGGGCGCAGTCGCCCTGCCTGCCTGCTCCTCCCTGGCCCCCCGGCACTGGCGTCAGTGCAAGATGAGGCTGCGAGGCCCCACAAGCCGCGTGTTGTGCTTACCTTCGTGAAACGCCGTGTGCAGGAAGGAGTCGTCGAAGAGCAGGCAGCGGCCCTCAGCCCAGCACTGAGGCTCGCCCCCCACCACCAGCTCGCAGTTGCTGGGCGTCTTCAGACCTTCGGGCACAAAGAGAGAGGACAGGGAGGGTCAGATGGTGCTGTGCTCCCTGGGACAAGGGAGCAGCCCTGAAACGTGAACAGCAAGCTCCACACGAACTCCATGCTGCTGCAGAGGGGTTGCTTCCCTCCAGAGAGCAGCGGCAGCAGCACATGCTGTGCTGAACTCAGCACATGGCAAAGTCCAGGGTTCAAAACATGCACAAAGCTGGCATTGCATTTGCAAGCTGAACTCTGAGCCTGATGCAGCTCAGCCCCTGCCTGCTCCCTCCTGCCCCTCTTGTCCCCAGCTGCTGCAGGGCACCCCCCTGCAGTCACTTACTGTACCCCAACGAGCCCAGCGTCATGGACACTCTCTTTTGCACCCAGAATGGCCATCAAGTCCCTGGAGCCCACAAACATGGGGTGTATGTAGGAAGCCAGTTTCCTGGTGCATTTTCTAGCTTCAGGACCAAAGGCAGAGCCTGCCCTCTCCTTCCTCCAGCTCTGCTGCAATTACCCTGCCCACTGCAAGGCTGGGGTAGGAGGATATGCTGCGCTGGGACTCAAGAAATGGGCTCAATTCCTGGCTCTGCCACAAGCTCCCCATTTGACCTTGGATCACTCAGCATCTGCCTTGTCACTCAGTCCCCCACCTGAGATGCTGCCAATCGGTCCCCCACCAGGCAGCTGCAAGGACAGAAATTCAGGGGAGGGTCACAAAACCCTCATAAAGGATGAGGGTCTGTGAAGGCCACATGAAGGACAACCCTAGAAATAAAATGGGTCTTTTCCTAAAATACTAGCGCAAGTCAGGCCAGTTTGACGAGGGTTGATCCCATCACCCCCTGCATCAGGAATGTCACCCCCCACAGTGCTGGGACCGCTGGAGCTGGTGCAGAGTCAACCTGCCCCGAGGGTGCAGCCGTGGTGGAGAAAAGGGTCAGGGCTCACGTGGCTTGCAAATGGTAATGATGCAGCAAACGAGCAGGAACAGATTTCACAGTGATGCCAAAACCAAGAGACCGCAGCAGGGACTCCCAGCTGCCCAGGAGAGCTGGGAGCACAAAAACCCGCTCTGCTTTTCTAACGGATGTTTCAAAGCCTAACAAACCCAAAGCCATTTCCCTGCACAATGGCCTCAGCTGGGGATGCTCCAGCTGGAAAGGGGGAGCTGAGCAGCCAGGGGAGGCGGGGAGGAGGTGGCCAGCAGCGTGCAGCCTTCCCATTGCACCTGCACCCCGGGGAATGCTGCCCTGTCCCTTGGAGGGGCAGAGCTGGTGCCTGTGCTTGGCCCTGTGTGTTCAGCAGAGCAGTAGCAGCATTGGGGTAAATCCTAGAGAGCAACTCGGCTACACTGACAGCTCTTCTGGCTTTTCAGAGCAAGCTGGCCTGAAAGGGCTGGTTGTCTCTTAAATGCATCTGTGCCCTGGGCACAGCCAGAGCTGAGTCTTCAGCACTGAGGTGGGGATGTTGGCAAGTGCACGAGCAGCCCGTCGGTGTGCCCCGGGCACGGTGCTATGTCCTGGCTGGAGGGCCAGCAGCCATGGAGCAGATGGAGCTAGAAAATGTGGAAGGACAAGGGAATGACCTGCATCGCTCGTCTCCCTGGGGCATGCGTGCTCCAGCTGGAGGGCTGGCCCCAGCTCCACACTGCCGGGGCAGGGTGCGTTTCTCTGAGCCAGCCTGCACCTCGCCACACTGGCCCCCTCCCAGGAACCGCTCTCGGCCCCTTGCAAAGAAAGCGCATCTTCCCAGTGAGAGGGGAGAGCCGGCGGCTGGGCAGTGGGCTGCCTCCTGGCACCAGCAAGCTCCCCAGCGGCTCCCCAGGCCTGGAGAGCTCCTCGGATCAGCTCTGAAGACAGATTCACATTCTAAATAAATGGCCAGTCACCGCCTGAGTGTGTTTACCCAAGAGGAGTTGGCTGAACAAGCGCGTTCGGTGTTTGCCAGCAGGGCCCGTGCGGTGCCTCCCCCGGCGCGATCTGCGCCGCTTCCAGCGTGGCAGAGTCCCGACCATCTGTGCCGCATGGGCTCTCCCCATCCTGGGCGCCCACGGGGCGGGGAGCACTATGCCACCAGCCCAGCGCTTGCCCCGCCGGAGGGGATACCCCGCGACCCCCCATTCCTGATTTGCACCAAAGCAGCATCTTTGCTCACATCTGCCTGTGTCACATGCAGAGCACCCGAAAACCCAGGAGAGGGGGAGCTGCTGGAGGGGCGGCGCTGGGAGACAGCTTGGACGCTGGAGCAGCACCCCAGGCTGCCCCACATCCCGCGATGGGAGGTGGGGCTGCCTGCAGAGCAGGGGTCATTCAGAGACCCCTGCACAAAATCAGCCCCGTATCTCGTACTGGTGGGAGCCCACTCCTCCAGGTCTGCAGGAGGAGGAGGTGAAACGCTCCTGCTGCTGAGCTGGGGACCCTGGGGAGGTCGGGCATCCAGGGGGGACTGAGCACCAGCCTCTCCTGGGGAGGCCACTGCTGCCAAAGCCCCAAAACCTCTCACACCATGAGCCGGCCCCGGGGCTGCAATTAGCAGCTGAAGTCGAAGAGCGTGAGAGGCCTTTTCTGGGCTCCTGCACTCAGGTGCGGCTGTGGTCCCCCCGCCCCCCGCATGGCAGGGACACTCAGCCAGGATGAACCACCCCCCCGGTTCGAAGAGCATGTGGTGCAAGAGGCCTTTTCTGGGCTCCTGCACTCAGGTGCGGCTGTGGTCCCCCCGCACCGCCCATGGCAGGGACACTCAGCCAGGATGAACCACCCCCCCGGTCACTTACCTAGATGGCAGCGGATGCGGATGTTGGTGGGTCCGTAGTGCTCAGCGATGACGGTGCCTGGGCTCAGCACGGAGATGCACGCGTTCCCAAAGACATTGTTGCCAATGCAGGTGCGAAGGCTCCCGAGCAAGCGGTATGTCCGTGGGCATCTCCTGCAGTTCCTGGGCACGCACATGCCCTGGTTCACCAGGTAGAAGGTGAACCACTCCCCGCTGGGCGTGCTGTTCATTTTCCATCCTTGCGGGAGGCTGCAGTTTGAGAAAGCTTTGTAGAGGGTCTCAAACTCGCACAGGATGGTCTGGAAGTTGCGCTCCAGCAACTCCACATCGTGCTTTTGAGCGTCCCGGGAGAAATAGGGCATGGTCGGCAAGTCCGGCAAGAAGAAGACTTCTGGCTTCTGGATGGACGGCCGGCTGTTGAGGTAGCGGCCCTGCTCACGGATGCCCTTGTGGATCCTGCCCATGCCGGACCAGGAGTAGCGCTTGGCATACTCCTGCAGGTTGTGGTAGAGTTTCTGGTTGAGCCCGTCGTGGTGCGTGCAGCGCACGCACTCAGGCGAGTGGCAGTAGACATACCCGTTCTGCATGCCGTTGGCCTCGGCGCTCTGCATCAGGGCATTGACAGTGGCATAGGTGCGGGGCTGCTCCCGGCCCACGTGGTAGCAGTACCACACGAAGAGGACCAGGAGGCAGGCGACGGCGGCGAGGGCGGTGGCGTCGCAGTCCCGGAAAGACTGGATGCCAGTGGCGATGAAATCCCGGAGTCCGTCCAGAGACCAGCTCCAGTCCATCAGCCACTCCAAAGACATGGTGGTGCAGCGGGTGGCGGGTGCGCACAGCGGGGCCCGGCGGTCAGTCCTCGTGGTCCTCAGAGGCACCCACACCATGCAGCTGGGCCGGGGCGCGGGGGGAAGGGGCTGCCATGGGCAAGCAGAGCTGCGGCTCTCCCCTGCACGCCCGGGGGCTCTGCATTGGCAGCAGCAGCCGGCAGCTCCCGGGGAGGCGGGCAGCCAGGCTGCCCAGGGGTTCCAGCGCTGTGGGTCAGCAGCAACGTGGCCGGAGGGTCCCCGCCGGCGCTCCCAGGCCAATCATCCTGAAAGGCAGCGCTGGAGGGAGGCTCTGAGGAAAGAAACCCAGAGGTGTTAGGGAGGCAGTTTCCCCTTGGGGTCCCTGCAGGTGCTCAGTGCACAGGGTACAGCTGGGGCTGTGTGCCGGGGCTGTGTGGGGCACTGGCTCCTCACAGGGGGATTATGGACAAGGAGCCCTCCTCTCTGCCCAGGAGCCCAACATCGTCCTATGCTGAGAAAAGCCCTCACCCCTCCCAACAGCATCTTCCACAAATGTCCAAATGGAAGGTAAGGGGGGAGCCAGGTCCCCTCGGCTCCACTGTCCCGGGGCGACCATCTCCCCTCCTGCTCTCCCCATCATTTCTCTCCTCCTCTGCTGCCTTATCATGTCTGAAATCTGGCTGATAAGGCAGCAGGGCAAAGCTGGGAATAGTCACTTAACAGCCCTATCTTGCAGCACATCAGTTTATCCCCTCGATCTAAATGCTCTGAAATGACTCTCCCTCCAGAGACTGAGCTGACAGACCCGAGCCCACCTGGCAGCTCTGCCCTCCGGGGGAGGGCAGTGCTGGGCCAGCCTGGTGAGGGCACAGCGGCGATGGTGGCAGGTCGGGGTTGGCTTGTTTGACTTCACCGACCAGAGGTTACCAGCTCGCAGGTCACAGGAGCCGAACAGCTCCCAGTGCTGTCACAGCTCTTAGGAAAGCAGCTGGGCGAAGAGAAGACGCTCCAACTCCTCATAACCATAAGCAATGTTTGCTCGCCCCAAACTCCATCCCTGGCAACTCCAAGCAGCAGGCAGCAGGGCAGGCAAGGCAACGGGTGAGAAATGGAGGGGAAATGCAAACCAAGTTGGGAAGCACACTGAGAGCTACCCCAGCCTACGGCACGCTGCCAGCACCGAAGGAGACCCTTGTAATTACTGAATTACAGCAGCTGAACAGGAGTGTCCACAGGTCAGGTCTCCACACCAAGCAGATGCTCAGGCTGGGCACGTGTGGAGGGTCACAGCCCGTCCTGGAGCATCGAAAGCGGAGCGAAGGATACAGGCTCTCACCCGGTTCATCCTGTGCTAGTGCTTCACCCAGACCACACCTCCTGAACGTGTCAACTGCTGCACAGCCGCGGGCAGGGCAGGGGCAGGGGCAGGGCAGGGGGATGCAGGCTGGCAGGAGCTACAGGGCAAAGAGCTCTCCATCTGGGAGAAGTGAAACAAGGATGATACAGGTAAGGGGGAGGGAGGAAGATACTGTGGGACCTCATCAGTAAGAGCATTGACTTGAAGGAGTAGAATGGGCTTATTAGCCAGGGAAGCCATCCAAACCCTTCCCAGCCCTCCCTGCCAAGGTTCTGCAGCCTGTTAATGAATGTGCGTTTCCCTATTGATTGCAATGATGATGAACTTCAGCTGGTGGAGCTTTGGCTGGGACCTGACCCTGCAGGTGTGGACCTTGTGCAGGGCTGGGGACACAAGCTTTGGGCAGTTTTACAGCCTGGGGAGGGATATCCACACAGCCAACCTCCCTCCATCCTACTTCCTTGTAGCACGTCGCCTGTGTGCCCTGTCCCAGGATCTGCAATCCATGTGGCCACATCACAGCCTCCTGGGAATTTTAAGATAACTTTCCTCCATCCCCACCAGCTGGCATCCCTCCAGACATGCTGACTTCTCCAGCCAGGCCTCAGCTCCCGGGGCGCAGCTGTGGAGCCGGTCCCAGGGGTGTTCCCTGAGGCCAGCACAATCCCTCCATGCTCCTCCGCGGTGCTGGAGCATGCCAGGAAGGCAGGCAGAGCCCTGGCATAATCAGGATGCAGCGCGCCCCGACAACCAACAAGCAAGCAACCACACAACTCAGCACAGCAGCCAGGCTCATTCAGAAGCCGACTGACAAAGCAAGTGCACATGGGGGGCAAAGCTGAGGGATCCGACAGGCCGGCACAATCCCTCCATGCTCCTCCGTGGTGCTGGAGCATGCCAGGAAGGCAGGCAGAGCCCTGGCATGATCTGTATTCAGGGTGGCTCTCGCCCTGACAAGCAAGCAGGGAGCCACCTCAGCACAGCAGCCAGGCTCATTCAGAAGCCGACTGACAAAGCAAGTGCACATGGGGGGCAAAGCTGAGGGATCCGACAGCCTCAGGGTCCCCGAGCCGGAGTCACTCACACCCCTGCGAGGGCAACACAGCACAAACACGGTCCCACTGCTGCCCCAGGGCTGCTGTCAACACCTCAAAGGGGGAAAGTCAGGGGGAAACATCAGAGCAGTAAGAGATCAAAGCCCCCGCGCCCACGTGCAGCCTGCCTGGCCCCAGAGCCTCGCAGCCAGGGAGCCTTTGGGCTGCTGAGCCCTGGGCTGCACAGGGATGCTTCGGGCAGAGCCTCCCACGGGGATCCAGCCCAGCAGCTGCCTCCTACACTGGCACAGGCAGCCCCAATGCAAACCTGCCCAAACCCACCTTCTGTGGGGGTTGTGCTGGCGGCAGCAGCAGAGCTGGGCCCCAAACGCCGGCACCGCTCCCGGCAGACGCTGCGTGGCCGGGACCTGCTGCCGGGTCAGTCAGTGCTGTCACCCTTCCAGCCCGACTGCACACAGCACCGCAGCCCTGCACCGAGACAGGTAGTCGCATAAAGCACCCCTGGCCTGAGATCCAAGAAAAGGCTCGTCAGCTAATAACGAACAGCAGAGCCAGTCCAGAAGAGTGGAAATCAATTCCACGTTGCACTGAAGTTGTGCAGGACGTGGAGGCGAGCACCGTGCCAGGCAGCAGCGGTGTTACATAATGAAGGCAGAGAGGCTTCGATGCAGCAGAAAGTTGCATCTTGGCGGCTCCGCGGGGACGCTGGCATCTCCCGGAGGAGGTGGGTTTCACTCAGCCCTGCCGGGATCCCCAGGCCGTGGGCCCCGCGGCGATGAGGACGCGTGGCAGGGCTGTCCTTGGCTCGGCACAGGCAGCGTCGCCTTCGGGAGCCGTGCGAGGAGCCTCCTCTGGATGCAGGAGCGTTGGGGTGAGGCAGGGTGCCGGCTGCTACTACGGAGCTGGAGCACGGCCAGGCAGCCGCAGGCGCTCGCTTCGCCCTTTCCTCCGGCGTGCCACCCCGGCGGTGTCACCCGGCGCGCTGGTCTCACCCAGTGTGACGGTGTCACCCGGCGTGGCGGCGTCAGCTGGTGTCACCGGTGTGGCTGCATCACCCGGTGTGGCAGCGCTGCCCGCCGCCCTGGTGTCACGTCACCCGGTGTGGCGGTGGCACC